CTCCCCCCCCCTCGCGTGCGGTCCGCCCCAGAGCTGTCCAGCACGCGCCCGGCGGTGCCCAGCAGGCCTAGCCGGCGAGCCCCGCGGCCAGCCTGGCCGCGGCCCCCCTGCAGTCGAACCCAAGGGATGCCCGCAGCTGCCGGGCAGTCGCGCGTTGAAGGGCGACGCTGAGCTCCGCGCCCCACCGCGCCGTCAGCGCGCTGGCCGCCGCCTCCGCCGCCGGGCCTTCGCCGAGCTGCTGCGCCTGGTCCCGGGCGCCCGGGCGAGCCAGCACAGGAAGCGAAGCGAAGCCTTCCCGTGGCGCCCGCCTGTCTCCAGCGCAAGCGGGAGGGCGGGCCAGGGCGCCCGGCGCCCGGGGTAGCGGCGCCGTTTGTCCGCCACCGCTTGGGCGTTGACGGCGCCGTCGCCCTCTGCGGCCGCCGCCAGGGCCCGCGCGTCTCCAGGCGCGCTGTACCGGACGGTAACGTCCGCATACAGCCGCGGGCAGTCGCCCCGCTGCGCCTCCAGGTCCAAGAAAGCCTCCTCGCGCTCCGTCGCCAGCTCGGCCCCGCAGGTAGCGCAAGGCCTGGGCGGTGGGGCGTCAGTGGCGCCGCGGGCGGCGCAGGCTGCGTCGCGGCAGCGCCAGTTCCACCTGCCCCAGGCAGGCACGGGCACCTGTCGCCCGACCCGGAAGCCGCATTCTGAGAGGATGTGCTCCCAGATGTCCTCCACATCGCGGCTCCGTGCCTTCAGCCCCCCTCCGCATGAGCAGCGGAAAGCGCGGCGGGCCTTGGGGCAGAGTGGCTGGCCGCAGAGCTGCCCTGCCCTCTCGCCCGTCCTGCGGCGGTTGCTGCAGCAGGCCCCAGCCGGCGCGCTGTCCTGCCCAAGCAAGGCTCGCGAGGTGGCGCAGTAGTCGGCGTCGTCGAGCCTTTGCCGCGGCCCGCCGTTGGCCTGTTGCCAGCCCGCCGCGCGGGGCCCTCCGCAGGAGCGCAGCAGCGCCCCCCCCTCCGCTCCCAGGGTGCTCAGCAAGGCGTCGCGGTGGCTTTTGCCCAGCCTTTGCGCGAGTGCCCGTTGAAACTTCGGGAGAGGGTCGTGCGCTAGCTGCCCCCGGGGCCGCAGCCGCGTGCGTCTCTCCTCCTCGCCCGGCAGCAGCTCGGCCAGCGCCCCCCGGCCAGCAGGGGGGGGGTTCCAAGTCGGCCAGTTCCAGCAGGCCCGTCCGCGCCCGGGCCCCAGCCAGGTTTTGCGTCCAGGGAGCCGCCCAAGCGGCCGGCGCCAGCGCGGCCTGGCTCCGGGGGCCCCGGCCGCCGAGCCGCAGCGGGAGGCGGCGCGCGCCCGCTGCTCCTCCTTCAAGGGGTCGAGGCGCGTGAGCTCCTGGTAGGTCTCCAGCAAGGCGTCGTCGTAAGCTGCTGCAGCGCGGCCCGGGTGTCGGCCAGCGGGCCGGGGCGCAGGAGGTGGGTGAGCTTGCCCGCGCCGCAGACCCGGAAAGGAGCGCCGCCGCCTGCGGGAGGCGCGGCGAGGCCAGCGCGGGCAGCTCGGCAAGCCTCCGCAGCAGCGCGGCCGCCCTTTCCGCCGTTTTCGCGCAGCGCGCCGCCGCGAAGCCAGCGCCACCCAAGTCCAGGCGCCGCCCGTCGCGCTCGTCCGGCATGCCGCCCGGCGGGAGCGGCTCGCCTAGCGGCACGCCGAGCAGCGCCAGGCCTTCCTGGCGCCCGCCCCCCTGCAGCTCTGGCGGGCAAGGCGCCCGCGCGGACCAGGCCTGCGTTTTACGCGGCTGGAGTTCGAGCCCAAGCCCCCCCAGAGAAGCCTGTGCAAGCGCCTGGACCTCCCCGGCCACGGCGGCGGGCGCGAGCACGATTACGTCGTCGAGGTAAGCCAGAACGTGGACGTCGTCGGCGTTGAGCCCTCGGGCGGCCGCCGCCCCCCGCAGGGCCCGCTGCAGCTCTCGGAGGCCAGGCCGGGCCCCAGAGGCGAAATGGAGCGGCGCCAAGGGGTCTCCTTGGTCAACGCCATCCGCCGAGAGCAAGCGGCGACGCTTGCCTCCGCCGCCCCAAAAGTAGCACTGCGAGTGCCGGCGGCAGAACAAGTTCGCAAAAGGGAGCAGCTCTGGCGCAGCGGCCCCGAGTTCGCTCAGGCAGCTCTCGCGGCTCACCGTGCCGCACGCGTTGTTTCGCGCCGAGGGCCACCAGGACCAACCCCGGGTTGGCCTCCGAGACCGCCCGCTCGGTGTGTGCCAGTAGCTCTGTCCCTGCCTTTGTTCCAATTGCGTACTGCTGCCTTCCCAGCGCGGCCGCCAGCGCTTCTTTTCTCGGCGCCGCCCGCGGCGAGGCGGTCGCAGAGGTTGCAGAGGGCCCCCAAGGCGACGGGCTCGGCCAGCACCGCCCGCCAGCGTTCGAAGCGGCCGCCGCCCACTGCGGCGCCGCTCCCTTTCGGGCTTCTTCTCAGCGCCTTCCGCAGCTCGGAGTGGGAGAGAGGCGAGGCGGCGGGCAGCTCCGGCCGCCCCCCCCCCCCCCCTCCCCACCGCCCCTCCCCCTCGCGCTGGGGGCTCGAGGGCGGGGGCGCCGCGGGGTCGGAGCAGGTTCTGCAGCGCGGCTGCTGTGTCGGGCGTCCGCGGCGCCAGGCCCGGGCTGGCAGGGAGCGCCGCCGCGCGCGAGTACTCCTCCGCCAGCGTCTTCCGGACCACTTCGTCCGCCAAGTGGGTTTCGGCCCCAGCGCGGGCGCCCTCGGCTTCCCGTCTCGCGCGCGCCAAGCCGCGGCCGGCGGCCCGAGCCTCTCCGAGGAGCTCCTCCCAAGCCCCGCGCTGCAGCTGGGAACATCGCTGGCGGATCAGCGAGGCCCGGAGTGTCGGCTCGTTCCCAGGATGGCGCCTGCCCCCCGTGCCGCGGCGCAGCGGGGCCGCGAAGAGGAGCCGCTCCCTCAGGAGGAGGAGCTTCCAAGCCCTCTCCTCTTCCTCGCTGCCGCGTGTCGCGCGCAGCGCTGCCTTGCAGAGGAGCTCCGTGGTCTGCGCCGCCGCCGCCCTGCGCCGTTTGGCACGTAGCGGAGCGTGGGGCAGTCCTCTGCCAGCTCGCCCAGCAAGTTGAGCCCGTCCAGGTCCGCCCAGCAGTCAGCCGCGAGGTCCTGGAGAGGCTGCCGCGGCGGCGGCGGCGCGGGCTCGGCGTCCGCCCCAGGCGCCGGCGCTGCGGGCGCCCCGGGTGGCGCGCCTTGCCCTAGGGCGCCGCCGGCGTCGGCGGCTCCCGGGGCCGCAGGGGCAGCGGCGCCGGCGGGCCCAGCGTCGGCCGCGGGCGCTGCGCCCCCGGCACGCGGCGCCGCGGCGGCGGCTGCGGCAGCGGCCCCGGCGCAGGTCCGGCAGAGGAGCTCGTCGCACGCCTCGCAGTGGTGGAACCAGCCGCCAGGTCCCGCCCCCCCGCGGCATCCAGCGCAGGCCCGGGTCTCGCGGCGCGCGGGCCGCACTGCGCGCAGCGGCCGCTGGCAGGCAGGGCAGGGCAGCGGCCCTCCTGCTGGCGGCCCCGGGTGGCCGACGCGAGCGCCGGCGTAGCCGCAGAGGCGTCTCAGGCGCGGCCTGGTGTGCGGCTGCGGCCTCGCTGCCGCGGCGGTCGGGGCGAGGCTGGCAGGCCGGCCGGCGGGCGCCGCGGTTGCCGCGCAGGCGGCGGGCGGCGGCGAGGAGGGCCGCGTCGTCGGCCGCTCCCCGGAGCTGCTCCAGGGCGTCCCCCGCGGAAGCCTCCTGGAGCTCGTTGTCTGTGCCCGCGCCCAACTCGGCGTCCAAGTCGGGCGGGGGCGGCGGTGGCCCCGCTGCCTCCAGGGCGGCGTGCGCCGCAGCCATCGCCGCCAGCAGCGGCTCTGGCGCGTCGCCCCAGGCGTGGGTCCTGGCAGGCCCGCGCGTGGAGCTCCAGGCGGTCCAAGAGCTCGCGCGTGGCCTGCAGCAGTTGCTCCGCCCCAGCGTCCCGCGCCGGCGCCGCAGCCTCCCCGCGGGCCGCTGCCTCGGCAGCCGCCGTCTGGGCAGCCTCCTCCTCCTCGCGGGCCGCTGCCTCGGCAGCTGCCGCCGCGGCGCGGGCCTCCTCTGCCCGGCGCGTCGCGGCTGCCACCGCCTCGTCCGCAGCAGTCGCAGCAGCGGCGGCCTTCCGCGCCGCCGCCCGGAGGCCCTCCAAGCGGTTGCCAGAGCGTTGCTGCGCCTGGCGCGCGCGGGCTGCGGCCTCGTCTTGCTCCAGCGCCTCCAAGGCGGCTGGGTGCGCGCCTGCCTTGCGCGCGGCGGCCGTTGCCCTGCGAAGAGCGTCGGCTTGGGCCCCTGGCCGCAGCGGCCGGGCGTTGGGCAAAGCCGGCCAGGCTGCTGCCCCAGCCTCGCCGGCGGCAGCCGGCGCAGGCGGAGGGCAGGCCGCCGGCGCGCCGCCCCGGGCAGCGCCGCACCTGCGGCAGTCCGCGCGCTCTGCCCAGTTCGTGCAGTCGCAGCCGCAGCGCCACTCCGCCCGGCGGAGCGGGGGGTCTGGCTGCTGCTTCCCGTTGCGCCGGCCGCCCCCCTCGAAGAGGCTCTGCAGCAGGTCCGCCGCCAGCTCCGCACCGCCTGCGTTGCGGCCCCGTCGCCGTTGCACCGTCTGCCATGCCATCCCTTCCGCCGGCCTACGCAGAAAGAATCCAGATGGCAAAATAATATAATATGAAACAACAAGTCAGCCTTATATCCCTCAGAGCGGTCGGGGGTCGCCACCCCGTGCAGTGAAGCGCCCAGTGCAGCAGCCGCCGCCTGGGAGCGGAGAAGCAGCGGCCTCGGACGCGCAGGGCAGCAGCAATCGCGAGGCCAAAATGGATACGAGAAAGGGGCGTACGGGCCAGCCAGCCGGTCGCTCGTGACCCTTGACGCTCCTCCTCCTCCTCCCTCTTCCTCTTCCTCCTCCTCCTCCTCCTCCTCCTCCTCCTCCTCCTCCTCCTCGTCCTCCTCCTCCTCCTCCTCGTCCTCCTCCTCCTCCTCCTTGTCCTCCTCCTCCTCCTCCTCCTCCTCCTCCTCCTCCTCCTCCTCCTCCTCCTCGTCCTCCTCCTCCTCCTCCTCCTCCTCCTCCTCCTCCTCCTCCTCCTCCTCCTCCTCCTCCTCCTCATCCCATGGACTCCGGGCCTGGAGTGCTGCTGGCGCGCAGCAGACGTGCCCATTCTCTCGTGGCACGAGCTCGAATGCTCAAAGCCGCACTCCTGCGCGATTGTGCTCTTGCCGGCTCTACGACGCAGCCAGCCTACGACACGGGACGCGACTCCACCGGCACGCCCTGCCTCGTCGTCACTTTTCCCGCGCGCTGCATGAAAGCGCGCTGCTCTCGGCGCCGCTGCGTCTTCGACTTCGGCTGGAAGGCTGAAGCCTCATGCGAGGCGGGGATCTATCCATCTCCACCGCCCGGGAACCGACGTCCTGGTGCCCCAGCGGGCGGTGGACCTGGACAGATGCTGCCCCCCGGGGGCCCGAACGCGTCCGTATCCACCGCCCACCGAGGTCCCCGACAGTTGATCCTCCAGGCGGTGGTCATGCAGACATTCCCTCTCGGAAGCCGGGCAAGGGCTGCTAAATCCGTGGCTGCTAAAATCGACCTCCACGAAGTTGTCTTCGTCCTTCCGGGAAGAAGCCCGTGGACTGTTTCGTTCGCGTGCCGCGCCTCATGCCGGGAAGCTGATGTTTTTCCTTCCAGGAGGGCCGCCTTAGCAGCCACGGCTTTAGCAGCCCTCTTTCGACCCTCCCCGGACCTCATCCGAGCTGGCGCTGTTCTCCGAGCGCACCGCCTGCACCAGGCGCACGGGCCAAGGGACCTCCTCTCCCGGGGGCGGGCGCGGCACCCTCGCCGGCCCCCGCGGCCCCTCGCACACGAGGCTCGTCGCGGCCATGACGCCGGGATCGAAGCTCATGGGGGCAACGCAGACGGGGATGCCCTTCTGCCAGCTCCCAACCTTGCACGCCGCCATTGGCACGCCCAATCGCCGAGCTCGAGCGCCGGATATGCCCAGGCGAGAGCGGCTTGAGCACAGACGGCCGAGAGCACGTCTGGGCGTGCAAGAGCGGGTCGGCTGCCTGGCAGGGTCAGTACCACTTTCCAAAAAGGTCACGGCGATTTCGCCAGGGTCTCTGGGCTCCTACGTTTTCTAAAAAAATAATGCTGAAGCGATGCTGACGGTGATTCATGATGTGGTATGGGAACGCATGCGATGCGGGTGCCAATGAGAGTTTGAACCATTATGCTAATGCGAATGCTCCTTGATGGTGTGGCGTTCTGTCGTGCGCGCATGGTCATGCTACGGAACAACCATGTGTTGCGAATATGCATCATGCCATGCTGATATGATGCGCAACGATATGTCACGGCATGATACGCCAACGCTCGCAACAATACGCTGTGCAGGAATATGATATGATGTACGATGGCTATGTTTGCTGGACGTCGCCCCACCAAAAGTACGATACAATCAGCTGCATGTGCCTTGTACAAATGTAATGGCAGTTTGCGTTGTGGCATGGCCGGTATTGCTTGGTATGCTATCATTAGCTCTGTCGGTTCAGAGCGTGGTCTGGTTTGCCATGCGAGTGATATGATACTGCTTAGCCAAGATGTGCGCTGACTTGCTACGAGAGAACCATGCCATGCTATCGATACGCTGAGCTGGGATACTGCCATGCTCTGCTATGATATGCTCCGCGTCGCGCTTGGTCCCGTCGTGTCGCGTTCGCTGTAAACGGCATGCCCCCTCCCGAGGCTCCCCGGGCATCCCTACGCCAACCTGGCAGTCTTCACGGTTCTCTGATGCCCAAGATGGCCCCCAAGACGGCCCGAAGCCTACCAGGGCAGCCGAGATGGTCGAATATTGCCTCAAGGTGGACCCAACAACCCCCGAGGAGAGACTCCAAGAGATCCCGAGAGGTACCCAAGAAGTCACAGATGACGCCCAGGCAAGCCAAAAAGCCCAGGCAAGCCTTACGAGGAAACATATGTTCTTGCTTGTTGCCACGTGTCCTCCCAAGACGTCGCAAAACGCCCCAAGATGCCTCGAAGACAACCCCAAAGTGGGCAACGGCACCAAATAGCCCAAAAGTAGCCCTAATACATACAAGACCGCTTCTGTGGGATCTGTTTCCTTGGGACTATTTCCCAAAACACGCTTAACTAGATAACCGTGTCTCAAGATACCGCGTTACTGGAGACAAATGTTCCCCAGAACCCTGTCCGCAAACTTCGGATCCAAAACCTGTTCGTAAGAACCCTTTCCGCAGACCTGCTTCCCTGTCCTACTCCCTGGGACCGCGTCCATACCTAGCAGGTTGTTCCCTGGACAGTTTCCCAGGCCGTTTTTCCCAGACTGTGCCATGGACGTATGACGTGGGATGGAGGCCTCAGGCAGCTTACCTCGTCCGCCTGTCCTCTCAATTCCTCCCCTCCTTTCCTCTCCTCCTATCCCTCTCTTCCTCACCACTCCTCTTCGCAATTCATCTCTGCACCTTTTCCTCCAGCCACTGTTTTCCTCTCGCCTCCTCTTGTCCTCTCCTCTGAAGCTCCTCTCCCGTGGGGAGACCGCAGCAACAGCGAGCGAAGGCCGCGACGACGAGGAGCCCCCCCAGCGGGCGGCCGCAGAAGCCCGAGACGAGACGAGCCTGAGGAGCGAGCCGAGCCCAGGGAGTGCGATCCGACGCGGCCCCACTCAAACACAACGGCAGGCCCCGGGCGGGCGGGCACGCCGTCGTCGTCGTCGTCGTCGTCGTCGTCGTCGTCTCCTCCCTCCTCCCTCCTCCCTCATCTCTCCTCTCTCCTCCTGGTTCAAGCCTTCCACGAGAAACCCAGCCCTGAGACCCCAGGGCATCAAGTGATTTTTGGTGCGGGAACGTCACGCCTTCCGTGGCAAAACCATCGAAGCCAAAGACACCCAGGGCACCCTGGAGGCAAGCGGAGTGCTTCTTGGCATGGGCCCCCACGGTACCCCCCCTGTCCCAAACCCATCCTCCCGGCCCGATAGCTGTCCCAGGGTGCCCCGGCGAGGAGGAGAAGCGCCCGCGCGCCTCGGTAGACCGCGCCGTAGTTGCCGGAGCCCAGGCGGCGGCCGGGGTCGAAGTTCCGCGCCATCGCCGTTAGCTCCGCCTCACTGCCCGGGCCGCGGAGAGGCAGGGCGGCGGGAGCTGCGCACGCTCGACCGCGGGCCCACCTGGAGCCAAGGATCTGGACGCCCGAAGTAGGCACCAATGCCCAACAGCAACGCCCAACAGCAACGCCCAACAACAACGCCCAACAGCAACAGCAACAGCAACAGCAACAGCAACAGCAACAACAACAACAACAACAGCAACAGCAACAACAACAGCAACAACAAGAACAACAACAACAACAACAACAACAACAACAACAACAACAACAACAATTACAACAACAACAACAACAACAACAACACTTGCAGCAGCAACAACAACAGCAGCAGCAGCAGCAACAACAACAACAACAACAATCATTATATGTTCGCTCTTACTTGCCCGCGTGTCATTCAAAAGGAGTTCCCCACACCCTCGATACCTACCCTTTTTGTCTTCGATCACACCCTTTTGGGGGGGATTCTCTTTGCGGGGGGCGGCGGGCTTGGACAGGCGGGCAAACCTGAACGGGCGGACAATCCTTCGTGGGCGCACATGTGCCCGCAATTGGAATTGGTGTGGGCCCTGCAAAAAGAGGAGGGGGAGAACGAGGGTGAGTGGGAGGACGGGAGGGTGAGGGACAAAGGAAGAGGGAAAACGCCAGGAGAGAAGGAGCGAAGAGGGGGGCGGTTTATTACAGGCACAGAGAGAGAGAGAGAGAGAAAGAGAGAGAGAGAAACAAAAAAATAGAAAGAGAGAGAGAGAGGGCAGAAAGAGAAATAAAGAGGGAGGGAGGAGGCAGGAGAGGGGAGGGAGAAGGGAGGAGGGAGAGGAGGGAGAGGAGGGAGAGGGGATAGAGCAGAGAGGCGTAAGGATGAGGGAAGAGAGGAGGGAGAGAGAAAGGAGGAGAGGAGGGAGGAGGGAGGAAGGAGAGGGAGGAGGAGTAGGAAGGTAAGAGCGTGAACGTTCGAGGAAGTCCTAGGCGAAAGAGCCGTTCCTGAAGGAAGTCTCGGGCGGGAGCCCACGACGGGCGGGCGATCCCCTGACGGGCGCGTCGGGCGGGTGGGACATTCAAGCGGGATGCGTGAGTATAGCGAGAGCGCGCTTACAAAGTAAATTGTAACGGCGTCCTTGGCGCAGCGTGTTTCCTGGGCGTCGAAAGCGCGATTTCTGAATACATTGCATGGACGTCACAGGCGAGAGCGCATTTCCTGGATAATATGTCAAGGATTCTCGGGCGGGAGCGTTGGTCTTGACTAAATTGCGAAGAAGTTGTGATTCAATTGCGAGGGAATCTCAAGGGGGAGCGCCGTTCCTGAGTAATTGGTGAGGAAGTCTCACATGGGAGCGGGGGTCCTGACTAAATTGCGAGAGGGTCACAAGCGGGAGCACCGATCCTGAGTAAATTGTGAGAAAGTCTCAGGAACGGGGGTCCCGAGTATATTTGGAGGAAATCTCAGGTGGGAGCCGTTGTTCCTGTAATCCGAGGGGCCAGGGGCCCAGTTTGAGCACCAAGACTTTCCCTGTCAAAAAACAAGGTGTGAGCGTCGAGGGGGACACGTTGATTGAGAAACAGCAGTATGCACCGGTGAGGGGGGATCAACAACAAATACTACTCAAAACTGAGAGTTCAACAACCAGCGCCCAACAACGGGAAAAGCAAACAAAAAACAATGGGAAAAACCAACCCCAACAACCAACCCCCAACAACCAACAAAACAACACGCTGGACAAAAAATGATCCAATGCCCAACAACAACTGTTGTCCAAAACCAACAGCGGCCGCCGTTGGGCAGCCGGCTTCTTGTCTTCAGTGCACAACGTCCGCGGCGGCGCGAGCAGCGACTTAAGCCTTGGGCAATCCCCCAGGCGGCGCCGGCGCGAATCGTGACGTTCCCGCCCGATCCCCCTCCCCAGACCCAAGCCGTCATGACTTTGCCAAGACGTGGACCCCAAAGGGTCTCGACACGTTCCCCTGGACAAGTTTTGCTAAATTTTTTGACGGTCCCGAGGCCTGGCGAGGGCCCCCAGAGGCCGAAACCAGCGAAAAACCTCGTCGTGATATTGTTCATGGTTCGAGGGGGTTTGGGTCCCTCCCCCTCACGGTCACGCCCGTTCAAATTACTGCCACGGGGAATACAAAAAAACTGTTTCTTGTTGCCCACCGGCTTTGGGCGGTCTCCACTGACCCCCGACGTCGTGTTTTTCCAAACCGTCGTGTGTTGTTGGGTCCTCGCTTTAAAGAGACAGCGCCCCGCGTCTCCTTCCTCCTCCCGTTGCCTCCTCCCCCTCCTCCTCCCGCCTCCCATCATCATCACCATCATCATCATCATCATCGTCATCACCATCATCATCACCATCAGCATCATCAGCATCACCCTCATCATCATCATAACCATCATCATCGTCATCATCAGCATCATCATCATCAGCAGCAGCATCATCATCACCCACTTCGGCACACCCCTCACACGTTTCGTGGCCCCATAGGGAGCTCCACCGAAGGCCCCCGTGCTGCCGCCCGCATGCGCCCCGCACGCTCAACTCGGCACACCCCTCAGACGCCTCGTGGCCCCATAGGGAGCTCCACCGAAAGCCGCAGTGTGCGTGTGTGTGTGTGTGTTGTGTGTGTTGTGTGTGTTGTGTGTGTTGTGTGTTGTGTGTGTTGTGTGTGTTGTGTGTGTTGTGTGTGTTGTGTGTGTTGTGTGTGTGTGTGTGTGTGTTGTGTGTGTTGTGTGTGTTGTGTGTGTTGTGTGTGTTGTGTGTGTTGTGTGTGTTGTGTGTGTGTGTGTGTGTGTGTGTGTGTGTGCGTGTGTGTGTGTGTGTGCGTGTGTGCGTGCGTGCGTGTTTGCGTGCGTGCCGTGCGTGCGTGCGTGTGCGTGCGTGCGTGCGTGCGTGCGTGCGTGCGTGCGTGCGTGCGTGCGTGTGTGTGTGTGTGTGTGTGTGTGTGTGTGTGGGGGTGTGTGGGTGTGTGGGTGTGTGGGTGTGTGGGTGTGTGCGTGTGTGCGTGTGCGCGTGTGTGCGTGTGCGTGTGCGTGTGTGCGTGCGTGCGTGCGTGCGTGCGTGCGTGCGTGCGTGCCTGCGTGCGTGCGTGCGTGCGTGCGTGCGTGCGTGCGTGCGTGCGTGTGTGCGTGTGTGTGTGTGTGCCCGCATGCACCCCGCACACGTTTCGTGGCTCCATAGGGAGCTCCACCGAAAGTCCCAGCGGGTGTGCCCGCATGCGTCCCGCACACCCATTTCGGCACACCCCTCACACGTTTCGTGGCTCCATAGGGAGCTCCACCGAAGGTCCCAGTTGGTGTGCCCGCACGCGCCCCGCACACCCATTTCGGCACACCCCTCACACGCTTCGTGGCTCCATAGGGAGCTCCACCGAAAGTCCCAGTGGGTGTGCCCGCATGCGCCCCGCACACCCATTTCGGCACACCCCTCACGCGCTTCGTGGCCCCATAGGGAGCCCCACCGAAGGTCCCAATGGGTGTGCCCGCGTGCGTCCCGCACATCAATTTCGGCACACCCCTCACACGCTTCGTGGCCCCATAGGGAGCCCCACAAAGGTCCCAGTGGGTGTGCCCGCATGCGTCCCGCACACCCATTTCGGCACACCCCTCACATTTTTCGTGGCCCCATAGGGAGCCCCACCGAAGGTCCCACTGGGTGTGCCCGCATGCGTCCCGCACACCCATTCCGGCACACCCCTCACGCGCTTCGTGGCCCCATATGGGAGCCCCACCGAAGGTCCCAGTGGGTGTGCCCGCACGCGCCCCGCACACCTTTTCCGGCACACCCCAGTCACACGGCACACCCCTTTCGTGGCCCCATAGGGAGCTCCACCGAAGGTCTCAGTGGGTGTGCCCGCACGCGCCCCGCACACCCATTTCGGCACACCCCTCACACGTTCCGTAGCCCCATATGGAAACTCCACCGAAAGTCCCACTGGGTGTGCCCGCATGCGTCCCGCACACCCATGTCGGCACACCCCTCACACGCTTCGTGGCCCCATACGGAGCTCCACGGATCCCAGTGGGTGTGTCCGCATGCGCCCCGCACACCCATTTCGGCACACCCCTCACACGTTCCGTAGCCCCATATGGAAACTCCACCGAAGGTCCCAATGGGTGTGCCCGCATGCGTCCCGCACACCAATTCCGGCACACCCCGCACACTTTTCGTGGCCCCATAGGTCCCGCGCACCCATTTCGGCACACCCCTCACACGTTTCGTGGCCCCATACAGAGTTCCACCGAAGGTCCCAGTGGGTGTGCCCGCACGCGCCCCGCACACCCATGTCGGCACACCCCTCACACGCTTCGTGGCCCCATAGGGAGCTCCACCGAAGGTCCCAGTGGGTGTGCCCGCATGCGTCCCGCACACCCATTTCGGCACACCCCTCACACGTTTCGTGGCCCCAAATTTATCCGCGAGGCCTGACCTGAGGAGCGGCCCGCCGCAGCCGCGCCTTCTCTCGGCTGTCCAACTGTTTGGCCTCGCGCCGCGGACGCCCTGCGCGCGTCGCTGGGACCCTGTCGGGGCGATCAGCGCGCGTCACGCGAACTCCGCGCTGCGCTCTGTCCAGCGCCTCGCTCGCCCGTCGTCGCTCCGCCTGGCGGCCAGAGCCATGCGCGCTATCAGTTAGCCAGCAAGCAATCTCTGTTCCACACAGCGTACGAACAATGCGCGTCATTGTGACCCCTTCGGGGCGACCCGCGCGCGTCGCGAGGGTTCCGCCTTGCGCTGCGCCCGCAGCCTTGGACTTTGGAGTGCGCGGGCAAAAGACAAGGAAAAATGAGGGGATGAGGCGGGCGCGATCCTCGTGTGGGGCGTGCCGACATGGGCGTCGCGGCGCGCGGGCGCTGCCGTCGGGGCTCCCAGGAAAGCCCCTTGCAAAGGCTACGCCGCACAATTCGGCACACCTTCATACGGTTCGTGGCCCCATAGGGAGCGCCACCGAAGAAGATATTCGCAACTGCGGTACTCACAACTGCATATAGAGGGTCCTTCGCCAAGATAATTTTC